GGATCTATCGGGAGTTGGGGTTACTCCTGTCGTGCGAGATGAGGGATAGGGACGCAAGTGCTAAAGCCCAGAAGATGAGGCATCTCTACGTAGTAAGAGATGRCCATCTGTTTATAAAGAGAGGTTGGGAACCCRAAGAGGATCGTATGTGGGAGGAACCGGCAGATCGATGTCATAGCAGCCTTACACGATGGTATAACAGGGGGGCACAKAGGGGTTAGTGCCACGTGCGCAAAGATAAGTGAGYTATACCATTGGGATGGAATGCTGACTATGGTCATCAAGTACTGCCAGTCTTGTGTACCTTGCCAACAGAGGTCAGCGCAAAGGCCTGGGGAGCCTCTGCACCCYAGGCTGGAAAGGGAAGTGGGTGCAGTCGTACACTTAGACCTATTGTTCATGCCACTCGGGGAGGATGTAAGTAACTATATCTTCGACGCACGGTACAACCTTAYCGGGTTCGTGGACGGTCGGGCTATTCGTACGAAAACTGGCCCAGTGTTAGCAAGATGCATCRAAGAGTATTACTTGCGCTATCCATTTGTTTGAGAATTTGTGATGGACCGGGGGTCGGAGTTCACTTGTAACGAGGTGCGGACCTTGCTTGTGGGGTATGGCGTAGTAGCAAATTACACTATTGCCGCACACCCCCAGGCAAACGCGCYTGTGGAGAGGGGGCATAGTACCATCACAAATCTCCTGGCCAAATGGACGGAGGGAAAGCCTAACCAGTGGCCAAAGCTCCTGAGAGCAGCATTCTTCGTGAAAAATGTTACAGTGAAAAGGACTACTAAGTATGCGCCAGCCACTCTATGGTACGGAAGGTATGCCACCTTTCCCATAGAAAACTTCATGAAGACGTGGAGGCGCMAGGATCTGGAAGTGAACCTATCCTTTGAAGAGCTACTCGATATACGAGCGTGGCAGGTGAGGGCCGCTGAGGAAAGGTTACGAGAGGCCACTGGCCAGGTGGAGAGGAGCTGTATGGAAGACAAGATGAGATGGGACCAGATGACCCAGATAAGGAAGGATCCRCTGAAGGCTGGAGATGTGGTGTTGCTGTATGACTCCTCGCTGGAGAAGCAATGGTCTAAGAAACTCGACAAACGGTGGTTGGGGCCCTATAGGATCGTGCGGTGTGGCGAGTTTGGGGCCTATCAAATCGAAGAGCTGGATGGGGCAGGATGGCAGGACTGGTGTCAGGGACAAGGCTGAAGAAGTTCGTGGCCAGGGAATAGGTAACGGGCCATGAGACCTCGTTAGGGATAGAGTCTTGCCTAGGTACTACCCAGGTCGGGTAATTAGATAGGTGGGTGATTGGGATGGATGGGTGTGGAGAGTGTGTGGGGTTTCCCTAAGCCGATGGCTCAGTTTGCTGACCCTGCTGTGTGCCTGTTTATTGTCTCTCGCCTGTTGTGCAGGTCTGACATTTCGAAGGCAGTCATGCAGAGGGGCGGGAGGGACACACGGCCACGCCAGGGGCTCCAGAGGATGGCGGAAGGGGGCGAGCAGCATG